TAATTTCATATAAAATGTTGAATTTAAGTTTTAAGGCTAAACTAAAGTGATGTATTATTATTACTACAATCAAAATTACTACATCTATAATATAATCGAGACGGGTTGATAATAATAATAATAATAATAATCACCGGTGTGTACCGAGTATAACCCACCAAACCCAACACATAATAATAATAATAAGCGCACAGCCCAAACGGTTAGGAGTTGAAAGTTGAAATTTGGTACACAGAGTACATCACGAAAACGCACACTAAGAAGAGATTTTTCGAAATTCCCCCCAGGGGGAGAAAGACAGGATTAAGGCTTAACACTTCCATCAACAATGGAAGTGTTAAGTAACAATGGAATTGTTAAGAGAAAGTGACATGCAAGATTTACAGGCGCAGATGCAGTTTTTTTGTTTTTGTGGGAAATCGAACATATTTTTAGAACCATCTAAAAATTCTCTAATTAGTCTGGAAACAAGGGGACCCAATTCTTGCATTCTGTGAAATCGAACATATTTTTAGACCCATCTAAAAATTCTCTAATTAGTCTGGAAACAAGGGGACCCAATTCTTGCATTCTGTGAAAACGGGTAAGGTTGACTGTAACGTAATAATCTTTATCTTAGTTATCGTTACTTTTGCCCGAGCAACACCGGGCCCACCTGCTAGTATTATATAAAATTCTTGTATGGAATGCAATTACAGCAGAAACCTGATAACTCATCCATCACGTCATTCATCAAACAATATACACTGAGTGGCCAAAAAATTAGACACACCCTGTAATAATGAGTTGTTCCACCTTTAGCTCTGATCACAGCTGATATTCTTCTTGGTATGGACTCAACAAGTTGCTGATACCAATGCTGAGGAATATTGGCCCATGCTAACATAATGAAAGCTCTAAGTTGGGTCAGATTGGATGGTGGCGTTTCCAAGCTTTGAAGTTATCTTTCGACTTTGTCCCACAAATGCTCCATAGGATTGAGATAACCATGGAAGCAGGTTAAACTATGATTGATGTACCTTAAACCAATTTGAGACCAATTGAGCACAGTGACAAGGTGCATTGTCCTGCTGAAAGTGACCATCTCCATCAGGGGACATACAGCCATAAACGAGTGTACATGATTGGCAACAATGTTGAGGTAAGCTATTCTATTCAGAGATGTGTCCACAAATATCAAGGGACCCAGTGTACTCCAGGAAAACATTCCCAAACCATAATTCCACTGTCACCAGCCTGAAGAGTTGTCAATTGGCAGGAGGGGTCCATGAATTTGTGCTGTTTGCGCCAAATTCTGATCCTGCCATCTGCATGATGGAGCAGGAAACGAGATTCATTGGACCATGCTACTTTTTCCAGTCCTCAAGTGACCAATTTCATTGTTCCTGGGCCCACAACATGCACCTTTTCCTATTTTTCTGTGATACCAAAGGCACTCTTGATGGTCTCCGGCTGCTAAAGCCCATCCTTTGCAAAGTGTGTTTTGTTGTGCGTTGGAATATGCTTTGTGATGCACCTGCATTAAATTCAGCTGTAATTTGTCATCGTGTTGTTGATGAAGAATGATGTAACAATGCAGAGTTGCTTATATAAGGTATGCCCAGCTTCACACAACATAATTATCATGGAAGTTAATGTCAAAATGGGTAAGACAAAAGATTTATGTGACTTTGAACGAGGGATGATCAGACTATGCATGCTAATTGCCTTTCACCTATCTTGTTCACCAGCCTTCAAGGACAGATCTGGTCAAAAATGACCAGAACTGTCCTTATCGCTTGAAGTTTTTTTTCTCAACTGCCACTCTCTAAACACCTGAGATACTGTTGGCGAGAAAATCCCAAAAGACTTGTTGTTTCAGAGATGCTGACACCAGGTCTTCTTGCACCGATGATCATCCCTCATTCAAAGTCACTTAAATCTTATTGTCTTACCCATTTTGACATTAACTTCCATGATAATTACGTTGTCCGAAGCTGGGCATACCTTATATAAGCTACTCTGCATTGTTACGTCATTCTTTATCACTGTCGGACTGATTTACTTTCAAATAAGGAGTGTCTCTAATTTTTTGGCCACTCAGTGTATATGAGGGTGGTTTTTTTCAACCTCCAATGGTCCATAAACCAAAGACGAGTGTAAAAAAAAAAACGTCATTAGTCCTGAACTTCTGCCTTCCTAGCCACATTTTCAGTTCAGGAAAGAGGCAGGAAAGAGGTGAAAGTCTTCACACATTTCAGGTGTGAAGACTTCCTGGAACTTTTTAAACACCCAGTGTATAGCCCTGTTTTAGCACTGAGCGACTTCCACCTCTCTCCTGAACTAAAAATGTAGCTAGGAGGGCAGAGGTTCGAGATTAATGACAATCTTCAAAACAACGTTAAGGCCCATCTCAAGTCACTGGTGGCAACATTCAATGAAGAGGGTATTGGAAAGCTTGTCCACAGATATAACAGATGTCTCAATCTTCATGATGATTATGTTGAAAAGTAACCATGTTTGTACTGAACTTTCAGTAATAAATTCATTTTGTTATTTACACTTGTCTTTGTTTTATGGACCATTGCAGGTTGAAAAAACTGCCCACATACAATTATTTTTCCTGGTCTTGACTAAGTAATTGTAAATGAAACTAAAACCAATATAGTAAAATAGTATAAGGACTGATTCACACATTATATTTACACCTTGCATACTGTACCTATCAATAAATCACAAGATATTTATAAATCTAAATTTCTTTTTATTGAAGATAAACCTAACATGCAGAATAAAAATGTACATTACAAATTCAACTTAAGTGTATGTTTAAAACATTTATGATAATAGCTTCAGTTTTCTGAAAGAAAAAAGAATAATATGAATTTTTCATTCTGCAAATTAATATTGTGTTTATGTTTCTTAAAATGTTTTAATAAAAATTTTTTAAATTATTAAAAATAATTCATTATTCACATCAAACACACTACACAACTTTGCTTGGCCTTTTCAGTATGCCTGATCATAAAGTCAGAAGAGCAAGTGTAATTTTTAGATGCAAGTGCAAATCATTTTTTGCACAACTGTGAAACCTGGTCACAGAGGAACAATTTTTAGACAGATCCTTTATTAGTAAATTGCAAACACTGTCTGTATATTCCACATTATTGGTATGAACATGCTGATCGGTTTTGAGATTCAACACACTGGCAATTCTGTGTGGACAAAGTACTAATTAACACCTATATGTGGTGTTGTATTAATGTTTATTCAAGTGCATAAAAGTTTTATAGGTTTATCTGTAAGTCCATAATTTACATAACTTCCACAATAACTACAGAAAATTCATAGTGGCTTTTGCTGGCATTTATGTAGCTGAATATTTTAAATATTTAATAGTTTTGAAAATAGATAATGAATTATTTTTTTTCTTTTTTTATTAATAGTTCTAACATTTTAATAAAATCATTTTGCTATTTTATGAAGAACTCCCAAATTTAAAATAGAAGAAAAATGGTGAGATGCAAATGATGAATTCATCAAGTATCTACTATAAATATTATTACCAATTCAATTTTTCTATGTAAAATGATATTTTGATTATTATAATATATTAAATATTTTAGCTTGTTAATTTAAAGATATTACTTTATTTCAATATTTTATGTTAAAAAATCAAAATAATGATATTTTATTTACGAAATGCAATTATAAGAAGTAATTAGTAGTACTGCATAAAATATAATTTGTGAATTTTACAGGGCTGTGGAGTCACGTAGAAATCTACAGACTCCAACTCCGACTTTTCCTTACCATCTGACTCCGACCAGGGATGGACTTGTTACTGAAAGAGACCCGGAAATTCTGATGTCATCACATAACCTCAGAATAAAAGATTCAATGAATAAAGTCCTAATAAAGATAGAACGTAGAAACTTTTTATTCAAATGCTAAAAGACTCCTCTAAGTAATATAATTTGATAATTTTTACTTTTCTGAGTGTTATATATAACAGAAGGAAAGAGTAGCGCTTGGTCAAAAAATGAACTCTTCCCAAAATTTTGGACTTGGTACACCTTGAATTTTCGAGATGTTCAAAAGATTCGAGTTTTTTTTCTATATGTGTGGATGTTAGACTGTGTGTGGGGGGCATAATTTCGTTTACCCTGTTTGAAGCCTAATAATTTCTGTGGTCAGAATCGAGTCAGATGAGGACACAGGAGTTAGTTATTAAGCGTCAAAATGGTTGAACTAAATCATGTTCCCATATACATTCTAACATCTTAAGCGAGAACATCTTAACGGGTTTTACTGTACTATTATAAAATGATAAAAAAGCTTACTTTGAGAGTAGAGACGAGTTTTATTTTATTATTTTAAATTTTGAACGCTAATAACGAGTAAAATATTCATTAAGAGATATGACACATGACCCCTTTTATGTCTTCACCTCGTCGGCCTTTAATTAAGAACCAGAATTTAATAGTATTACGCAAACTACAGCGCCACATTTTGTTTCTTAAACTTTACCCATTCTGAGATATTGTTTAATATCTCAGAACAGAAAATAAAGAAATTAAACAAATTAGATGCCAACACACACATGCGCGTGAATTTTTCCCCTTTTATTGACTTCTTTGATAGGTTCGGGGTCTCCAAACGTGTAGATTTGCAAAAAAAAAAAAAAAAAAACTTGGAGGGTCAAATATGACATGATTCCAATACTTTACCATTTTATATACATAACATGTCGGTAAGTAAAAAGGAGTTGGAGTTGGCGGATTTTTTGACGACTCCAACTAAAACACCAAAATTTCACGACTCTGACTCCACAGCCCTGGAATTTTATCTGTCATTCCACTAACTGCAGCCTTATGCATATTTGAAAAACTACTAATTTACATTTAAAAATTTCTTTATATTAAAAAAATCATTGTATTTATTTACAGATAAAGATACATAAAAATTTTAAAATAAAAATATAAAAAATAATAAAAATTTCATGATGATTTAAGACTTACCATCATATTCTGGGAAATAATCTACAAGATGAGAATACATTATTTTTTCTTCTAGAAGATCCTTTTTATTAAGGAAGAGAATAACTGAAGAATTTTGGAACCAGGGATATGTAATTATTGTTTTAAATAAAGCTTTACTTTCTTCCATTCGGTTCTAGAAAAAACAAATTGTAAGATTTGATATTTTAAATTTAACATTTTTCAGAGCATTGTAGTTCTGTTATAAATTTCATTAAACTAATTATTTTATATCTAAATCATTTTATTCACAATGCAGAATTAGCACAATTAATATTAATTTGTTATTTCTTAATAATTTTATTACAAAATAATTCTGCAAAAATGAAGATTATATTTTAAAACTAGCTGTTACCCGCGGCTTTGCTTGCGCGGATTTTGCAAGCAAACCCTATTTACATTCAATATTTCAACAACCATAGTAATTGTCATATAACACCTACCGCTGAGAATGATGAGAATTGCTGAGAATCAAAAAAACTGTTTTTAATTTGATAGATTTTCTGGAATGTTTAAAATCATTCTATAATCAAACCAATATGAAAAAAGAAATTCGAATTTAAAACAGTTTGAAAATTTGGTTAAAAAGCAAAATATATAAAAAATATTTATAACAATGTCTGAAATGTTATCAATTTAATACCCCTAAGTACTCAATGAAGACTAAAGGTAGTTGAAAACAAAAAAATCACATCTAAAATAGTACAGTAGAAGCCGTTCTTTCAGTTAAGACTTATTGCTCTCCCCCCGCAGGGAATTTCGAAAAATCCCTTCTTAGTGTGCATTTTCATGACATACCCTAACTGTGTACCAAATTTCACCTCTAGGTTCTGGAATTTTCTAGAAAAATCCTCATTGAAGCGTCACACATTTTCGAAGTCAACCACTTTCAAACCCCATATCTCTCACACCCTTATAGCTATCGAGACGCAACCACCATAGTGCACGACGGGAGACTTGGGCTACTACCACACACAAATACCATTCATGTGCGATGTGTAGTTTTGGCTGCAGAGTGAAATATAGGCACAAACACATCCATTTATATATATAAATTTAAATAACTTTAGGATATCACAATGTAAAACTGATTACTACAAATACTTGTAATGATATAAACAATTCAGTCATTTTTAAACAGATATTCCTAATAAAAAGTATGGATACCTTGGTATAAGATTTTCTGGCATGATATGCAAGACTGACATTGAAAAAAGGAAATGTAAGATTAAACAATTCTTTATGTAAAGGGCACAACTAGAAAGCTTGAAATTCACTCAAAAGAATACAGTGTCTATTGATCACAATAAACCTGTCACTGAGCTTACTAAACCTTTAATTGAGAAATACTATATTATCTGGGATAAATAAATACAGTCTAAATCAGTTATAACATCATTGGATGCAACTACAATCCCAATATAATGTCAAATTTTTATTGGTCCCATGTTTTACTATACTAGATAATGTTAAAAAACCCACTTGTAACAACATAAAACCCCGTTTTAACGTCATATTTAAAGCACTCCCAGATTTACAAAATTAAATTACAAATTTTATTTAACAAAGAAAATACTACATGTTCATTCCTAGGGTCAGATTTCATTTCCTAGAACAACTATGGGTGGTACTTTCACCACCTGATTTCAGTGGGGTGAGTTTCACCACACTTTTAAACGACGTGATGATTGGTTATTATGAACTCAATTTTAAATTACTTTAGCTAAATCATTAAATATTCTATTATTTTCAATATATATAACATATTATATCAAATAGTTTATGAAGAAATAATTGAATTATTTTTAATTGGCATACATTAGTTTAATCTTTTGTTGCCTTTTGATTCAACTGTTAAGACATGTGAATATGCATGGACTCCTAAAGGACGAACGTACAAATAGAAAGCAAAATATAAAATTTATTTACAGACAAAAAACCAATAAAGCCGACCATTCACCTTTTTTGTGTGGTAGTACAGTATTTGTTTCAGATTCCAACTCTGGACCTCACACGAGTATAATGAGAAAACAAAGGCACAAGACATGTGGCGACATACAATAGAGACACATTTCGCAACAATGGATTACAATGGGATACTTCCAGAAATTCTATAACTAAGACTTAAAACTAACTTACAAACTATAAGAAAAAAAGAAGGAGGATAGAATAATATGTATACACAGTGCGGCAATTATATTCCGGGACTATATTTATAAAAATGAAACAAAACAATTTTATTCAAATCTTTTTATTAAATTATTCAAAATACTCTCCTCCTGCTTCAATACACTTTTTACAGCGATTCAATAGTGATTCAAATGCCTGCTCAAACTCAATTTTCGGTATTGCCTCTAATATGCGCGTAGACTCTCTTTGGATGGTTTCAATATCATTAAAAATGCGTCCTTTCAACTTCATTTTCATTTTTGGAAATAAAGAGAAGTCACATGGTGCTAAATCGGGGGAATACGGCGAATGATTCAACACACAGACTTGATTTCGTGCCAAAAATTGACGAACAATCAATGACGTGTGACTCGGTGCATTATCGTGTAACAAACACCAGTCATCAGAATTGCGATATTCTGGTCGAATTCGACGAATTCTTCCCATTAATCAGTGTAAAACTCCCAAGTAGAAAGCAGCAGTAACTGTTTGACCCTGTGGGACAAACTCACGGTGGATGATGCCTTTGCTATCGAAGAAAACAATGATCATCATCTTGATTTTTGATGGAACTTTTCATGTTTTCTTGGCTTGAGGTAATGATTTTGACTTCCATTCGGAACTTTGATGTTTTGTTTGTGGGTCATATTGAAAACACCAGGTCTTGTCACCAGTAACAATTGATTTGAGGAAGGTTGAGCTGTTATTTGCTGCTCGTACAATCTCTCTGGAATGTTCCAGTCTCATCAATTTTTGGTCTTGGGTTAGTGTGTATGAAACAAATTTAGCACAGACCTTTGTTTTGCCCAAATCTTCTTTAAGAATTTGTCGTATTGTCTCTTTGTTAATGTTTAATGCCTGTTCCATCATTCTCAGTGTCGCATTGCGATCGTTGGATACAAATTCTTGCACTTTTTGAATTGAATCTGCTGTTCGAATTGTTATTGGCCTTCCCACACGTTTGTCGTCCTCCAGTGATTGTCTGCCTTCCAAAAATCGCTTATGCCACTCAAAAGTCTTTGACCGTGATAAACACTCACTTCCATACACTTTCTGCATCATTTTGAACGTTTCTGTGGCACTTGTGCCAAATTTAGCGTGAAATTTAATAACAGCACATTGTTCCATTATTGTTTGCCGACATGTAACAAAATAAACTGATAAACAAAATATCAAAAACAATGATAAATGTCAACCGATTTAAATAAAAGTTTTAGGTTAGTAGCGACATCTGTTCAAACTTCATATGATATAAAATTTAAACAGATGTCGCTACTGGTTGCTGAGATATAGCTTCAGTCCCGGAATTTAATTGCTTCACTGTGTATTTAGATGTATAGAGAGGAAAGAATAGGGGGTACCCGGGATATCGTATTTCTTTGATGCCTTCCAGTGGGGAGAACTGCATTCCAGTCCGTTGCTATATCGTTCTTCAATTCCAATCAATAATCCTGAATAATCAATAGATATGTTATTTCTTGATCTTAATACACTGAGTCCTTCCTTCAATCGTACAGACACTTTGTTGTATTTTTGTTTCTTGTAACGCCAATTCGGATCCCTTCACTTGCTGTCTGCTTGCTCTTGACTCCTCACCAAGAATGACTTATCTCCTCACCCCATATGCCTTGGGGTGCTCACCCTTTATTGTCTTCTCATCTTGTTCTTGGAACAGTGTTTCCCCCCACCTGATAAGGAAGTGAAGAATCGAAAGATCGAGAAATAGGAAAACAAAGAACACAAAATCAAATAATTAATACCAGGCTTACGATTAGCATGTATATACAAAATTATGGCATACTGCCACACAACATTATTCTCAAAACCGGAAGTTCTGCCACTATTGAAACTTACAACAAATAGAAATTTGTTATAAAAGGTAATTTTTGAAATTTTTAATTATATTGATGTAAACTTACACATAATAACATAAATAAAGTTGATTTAAACATGCAGTTTTCATTTTTATACATATGGTAATAATAGACCTTGCTTATAACGACACTTGGTTATAATGTCAAAAAATTTCCGGTCCCATGGATGATGTTATAAACAAGTTAGATTGTATTACAAATCTTTTTGAAGTTAGTTATGTAGCATTAAAAGAAAATTTATTCCGTATGAAGAAGAATGTGAAAATAGATATAAAATAATAAGTTAAAAATAAAATTTAGTAAAATTCATTATTTTAAAATTTCTCTCTCCATAAAAAAAATAAACCTTAAAATTAATCAAAATTAAAAATCTTAAAAAATTATAGTGCATCTCAGAATCATTGTAGTCTTAGAATTGAAGAAATAAGGTATTCAAATTTGCATAGACAAACTGAGTCAAGAGTTAGAAAATAAATCAATCAATCAAAAATATTTTCATAGATATGCACAATTCATTAAATTTTCAATGTCAATATTAAAAATATCATCAAAAACTTTGTACTGTATATGATTTAAAATAAGTATTTTAACAAACGAGTTTTATTGTCACAAAATCATCTTAGTGGAAAATCAAAACAGAAAAATTAATTTGGTTGATATATTTTATTACATTGATTCTTTAACAATGAAATCATTGAAAAGATATTCTATACTTTGAATATTTTTTAATGGGAAAAGTGCAATAAACTAATAATAATAATAATAAAGAATATTTAGTAAATTTTTTCCTTTCCAAAAGCAGTCAGACAATAGTGTTAATTTAAATATACTAATCTAAAATTTCCTGGTAACACTAAAAAGCATCGACTTTCCATCCACTGCACATGGCATCTGCATGTTTAATTATTTCAGTAATGTACTGTACAGCAAAACTGCTGTCTATTGAGAACCATCAGAAACACCAAGTTGTAATTAAATCCTTTTCCAAGAATGTCTCTCTGGAAGAAACATACAAATATCTTAAAAAATATTTATGGTAATGAAATACTGAATAACTGTGAGCTAGTGAACATAGTTTGTGCAGATTACTGAG